AGTAAGCCACCGAACGCGCCTATTGTACTGAATGATGATGACGATGTTATTTTCATCAATCCAACTTCAACTGCCAGTCAATCACAAGCTTTAAGTGTAAGTGCAACATAGCCAAAGTAAAGTTACAATGAATGATTTTTAATTGCTTGGCCATTAAATATAAGAAAAGACATATGTGGCTCTCTTGTATGTAAACTTAACTTAAACGCCCAGAACAAAGAACACATTTCGATATAAAGTAAAGCAGTCAATTTGATATAAGTACATTACTTAAAATCAAATAAAAAAAATTAAGGTCAAATTATACTCAATTGGTCAAAGTACAGTAAATGAAAAATTGAAAATTCAACAAGTTCTCCCTCTAAGTGCTGAAATAACTTTGCTAGATGGTGAAAGAACGCTAAAAAAGTTGAACAATCCAAAAAGAACTATTTATTGGTATGTATTTTAATACAGGCAAGTACAGAGGCAAGATGGAACCAATACCTAAGACGAATGAATAGATTACAGTTTAAGATAAAATAGCATTGATGTTTGTATTTCTGCTCTTAAAACAGCCTGTATAAGTATATTTAAAAAACTGATTTTGGGCAATGTTCTTATGATTTTTGAGTTCTGTTAGTGAGCTAAGTTCGAAAGCGCTTGTAAAAATATACAAGGCCTTTGTGCACCAAAGCTTTTGGGTCAAGGCTTCACAGTTTGAAATGCACACTGAGCTAATTTGTTTATTGTAGAAAGTGAGTACACATTTTGTGCTACTTTCTTGTATATTCCGGATTTCTCCTACTGTTGTAATTTTTTAGGCAAAGGTGCAGGGCACATTAATTTTGTCGAAAAAATTAATTCAGAAATCGAATCCGTTTGTAAATCCCAACCTTTCCACATCGGGGCTGAATGCAATAAAGATTAGTGGCGTTACAACTACTGCGACACCTCCAGCGCCCGTCAAGGGAAGATTTTTGAAGGTATATCTAGGGAAAAGAAGCTAGGCGTATATGAGAGCATTGCTTTTTGTTTTTAGGTTCGATCATTTACTTCACTGCAGTCAGTGCCATCGGAATGTATTACGATTCCTGACGATCCACCTCCATATAAAATTACAGAAGTGGACCCGCTGAGCTT